AGGATGCCCTTTGCACACTGTCAGGCAACATTTGTGTACAATAACAAAAAATGAATAACAAGGGAAATGCAGCACTAGTTGATGTGGATGGGACTTGTGATTTCCCTTAGGCGTTTCTATGAAGTGCACTGTCGTCTACAGACAAAGCTCGACTGAGAGTCGTCATATCGTAGCTGCTGTCGTTGCTGTATAGGTCTCCCTGGTCTTCGTCGTCCTCACTATATGAGCTGTTGGACAAGAGTTCCGTGAAGGAAGCTTCATCGTCATTGAAAGAGGTATCTGCATTCCAGTCCGCCTCCGAATCACTCTCTGCAGAAGCATCTTTGGTGATGGCGTTTACACAGGCTTGCACCTCTTGCCACTTGAGTTGTCTGTAGATGGTAAACATCTCCTTGACACCTTCCAGCACCCATCGTCTCTGGATCAGCTGTTCACCTCGGATTATGCAGTTGTTGGAGGAGTTGGCTGTCATCTTCCGCATCAGATGGTAGACTTGGGTATCTGAAAACAATAAAACGGGTAATTAGAAATCTCGCTAAATGTGTTCACAACAATGTCATTTTATTTTGTTCAATTCTAAAATTCAGTGTGATACCAATGTTGCCATGTTTGCAGGGGACTGAAAAAGAGCACAGTTCATATTTACCTAATGTCAGGATCTCTTTCACTGCATTGTCGTGGGCAATAAGGAGACGTCTCAGCTTGATGGCAACTTGAACTGGATCCATTTTCTAGGGCCTTCGGACACAACACTAGAATGCAGTCGGATGAAATACTACAGGAATTCAGTAGCGCCAAATTTGGATAATTGGAAAGTAGATGTGTTCGTTCTCACGGATTGAGATGAAGTGAAGGACTCCAGTCCGTGCAAAACATTTATACTGACCCTTAGTATAAACATAGTAGTGGAGATTTATAGATCAAAGAGAGCATTTTCGAAGCCAGTGGCGAGATCAAAGCTACACTGCAACTTCATTAGGCTTTGATCCGAAAGGAATCTCACTGTCCACTTGAGAAACCAATCAACTTCTTGTCAAAACAAGTTTCCGTATAAAGGGAGAGGTCTGAGAAGAGTTCAACCAATCTAGTCCTGTTATCTCCAGGGATTATCAATCATTGTTAATTGATTAAATCGGGATTGATCAAACGGCGCAGTACGTTGTGTTACTTAAAAATCCGATGTGGTTACTTTCGCATCCACAGAAACCAAGTCACAGAAACTTCTATCAGCTTGGAAATCGTGTGATGCTTCTCTGAACGTTTAGTTTCAATTAAAAAACCCGAGAAAACCATGTCCACAATCCTAAGAAATCCTTACTCTGGTAGGCAAAGTGAATAAATGTACAGTCAAATCTTGAACTTATTGTACACATCTGTTTGAGGTCGTAAATGCTATGATAATCTGACCATTTTCCCAACCCGTCTTACATGATCGAAATACAGCACGTATGTTTTGAAGCATTTCAAATACTATTTTTTATGAATACCATCATCATGGTATAATTGAAGCAGCTCATTTGGCTTAAGTATCTGGATATTAACCATCTTAGAAGCTTTTGGATGGACGTCGGCTACTTAAAAGGTTACTATATAAATAAATAAATAGGCATGTACAATAAAGTTTATGTGTGTTAAATGATCTAGAGACATCATCTTCAGTGTATAACTGTCATGTTTTTGGGAGAATTACAAAGCACGGTGTCATGATTTATATCTTTGAATACAGAATGCTGTTAAAGCACATGATGGAAATTGGAGTATGTTGCTAGATAAACATAAGCACGTTGTTAGCATTGTTTTTGAAAGATGCCCACTGTTTCATGTCAGGATATTCTCATCTTTACTTTTTAGTGCTTTCAGGGGAATAGTATTCATCAAGTGCTGACTTGGATCAGAAATGTTATTTGGCCTGTGTTGATGTCAATGTTTCAATTTCCTTTTGTTTTCCATGCTGTGAACATTGACAATTTTTAACATGCATGACTCTCTCCTTAAGCACTTGGGCATGTACATTTCAAAAGGAAAGAGAAACAATTAAATGCTCTGATAATATGAAATACAACCTGACATATATCTCTCTCAGATCAATATCATATGGGGTTGTGGTTCGTCTGTCTAAATCCTTTTGCTATAGGATCGGCATGGATACGGAAAACGAATTGCAACGTTCCAAACTGTATTTAATGTTATGGTGCAACCATTACATTGGAATCTCTTCTTCTCCATCATACCTAATGTCCAAATGTGTTTCATTTCAATTGATCTTATATTCAATAGTCTGTATCTTTTTCCTATTTCAAAGAATAGATTAAGGACGATATCTGCGAATGATTGCCATACTCAGAACCAAGTAAAATGATCGAAGGCTAGGTATTGTGAGATACCATCTCAAATTAACTTTTTCTCTCTCTCACAAACTTTCTATACGAATGATGTCTTCAAGATGTCGTGAGCGTGTCAGTAAATGATCAAGATTATAATATCGACTTCATTATTTATTTCCTCAGCATATTCATCAACAAACAAATGTGGTTTACAATATACTAGGATGCCCTTTGCACACTGTCAGGCAACATTTGTGTACAATAACAAAAAATGAATAACGAGGTAAATGCAGCACTAGTTGATGTGGATGGGACTTGTGATTTCCCTTAGGCGTTTCTATGAAGTGCACTGTCGTCTACAGACAAAGCTCGACTGAGAGTCGTCATATCGTAGCTGCTGTCGTTGCTGTATAGGTCTCCCTGGTCTTCGTCGTCCTCACTATATGAGCTGTCGGACAAGAGTTCCGTGAAGGAAGCTTCATCGTCATTGAAAGAGGTATCTGCATTCCAGTCCGCCTCCGAATCACTCTCTGCAGAAGCATCTTTGGTGATGGCGTTTACACAGGCTTGCACCTCTTGCCACTTGAGTTGTCTGTAGATGATAAACATCTCCTTGACACCTTCCAGCACCCATCGTCTCTGGATCAGCTGTTCACCTCGGATTATGCAGTTGTTGGAGGAGTTGGCTGTCATCTTCCGCATCAGATGGTAGACTTGGGTATCTGAAAACAATAAAACGGGTAATTAGAAATTTTTCTCGCTAAATGTGTTCACAACAATGTCATTTTATTTTGTTCAATTCTAAAATTCAGTGTGATACCAATATTGCCATGTTTGCAGGGGACTGAAAAAGAGCACAGTTCATATTTACCTAATGTCAGGATCTCTTTCACTGCATTGTCGTGGGCAATAAGGAGACGTCTCAGCTTGATGGCAACTTGAACTGGATCCATTTTCTAGGGCCTTCGGACACAACACTAGAATGCAGTCGGATGAAATACTACAGGAATTCAGTAGCGCCAAATTTGGATAATTGGAAAGTAGATGTGTTCGTTTTCACGGATTGAGATGAAGTGAAGGACTCCAGTCCGTGCAAAACATTTATACTGACCCTTAGTATAAACATAGTAGTGGAGATTTATAGATCAAAGAGAGCATTTTCGAAGCCAGTGGCGAGATCAAAGCTACACTGCAACTTCATTAGGCTTTGATCCGAAAGGAATCTCACTGTCCACTTGAGAAACCAATCAACTTCTTGTCAAAACAAGTTTCCGTATAAAGGGAGAGGTCTGAGAAGAGTTCAACCAATCTAATCCTGTTAACTCCAGGGATCATCAATCATTGTTAATTGATTAAATCGGGATTGATCAAACGGCGCAGTACGTTGTGTTACTTAAAAATCCAATGTGGTTACTTTCGCATCCACAGAAACTTCTATCAGCTTGGAAATCGTGTGATGCTTCTCTGAACGTTTAGTTTCAATTAAAAAACCCGAGAAAACCATGTCCACAATCCTAAGAAATCCTTACTCTGGTAGGCAAAGGCATGGTGAATACATGTACAGTCAAATCTTGAACTTATTGTACACATCTGTTTGAGGTCGTAAATGCTATGATAATCTGACCATTTTCCCAACCCGTCTTACATGATCGAAATACAGCACGTATGTTTTGAAGCATTTCAAATACTATTTTTTATGAATACCATCATCATGGTATAATTGAAGCAGCTCATTTGGCTTAAGTATCTGGATATTAACCATCTTAGAAGCTTTTGGGTGGACGTCGGCTACTTAAAAGGTTACTATATAAATAAATAAATAGGCACGTACAATAAAGTTTATGTGTGTTAAATGATCTAGAGACATCATCTTCAGTGTATAACTGTCATGTTTTTGGGAGAATTACAAAGCACGGTGTCATGATTTATATCTTTGAATACAGAATGCTGTTAAAGCACATGATGGAAATTGGATAAACATAAGCACGTTGTTAGCATTGTTTTTGAAAGATCCCCACTGTTTCATGTCAGGATATTGTGATCTTTACTTTTTAGTGCTTTCAAGGGAATAGTATTCATCAAGTGCTGACTTGGATCAGAAATGTTATTTGGCCTGTGTTGATGTCAATGTTTCAATTTCCTTTTGTTTTCCATGCTGTGTACATTGACAATTTTTAACATGCATGACTCTCTCCTTAAGCACTTGGGCATGTACATTTCAAAAGGAAAGAGAAACAATTAAATGCTCTGATAATATGAAATACAACCTGACATATATCTCTCTCAGATCAATATCATATGGGGTTGTGGTTCGTCTGTCTAAATCCTTTTGCTATAGGATCGGCATTGATACGGAAAACGAATTGTCACGCTCGAAACTGTATTTAATGTTATGGTGCAACCATTACATTGGAATCTCTTCTTCTCCATCAATACCTAATGTCCAAATGTGTTTCATTTCAATTGATTAGTCTGTATCTTTTTCCTATTTCAAAGAATAGATTAAGGACGATATCTGCGAATGATTGCCATACTCAGAACCAAGTAAAATGATCGAAGGCTAGGTATTGTGAGATACCATCTCAAATTAACCTTTTCTCTCTCTCACAAACTTTCTATACGAATGATGTCTTCAAGATGTCGTGAGCGTGTCAGCAAATGATCAAGATTATAATATCGACTTCATTATTTATTTCCTCAGCATATTCATCAACAAACAAATGTGGTTTACAATATAATAGGATGCCCTTTGCACACTGTCAGGCAACATTTGTGTACAATAACAAAAAATGAATAACAAGGTAAATGCAGCACTAGTTGATGTGGATGGGACTTGTGATTTCCCTTAGGCGTTTCTATGAAGTGCACTGTCGTCTACAGACAAAGCTCGACTGAGAGTCGTCATATCGTAGCTGCTGTCGTTGCTGTATAGGTCTCCCTGGTCTTCGTCGTCCTCACTATATGAGCTGTCGGACAAGAGTTCCGTGAAGGAAGCTTCATCGTCATTGAAAGAGGTATCTGCATTCCAGTCCGCCTCCGAATCACTCTCTGCAGAAGCATCTTTGGTGATGGCGTTTACACAGGCTTGCACCTCTTGCCACTTGAGTTGTCTGTAGATGGTAAACATCTCCTTGACACCTTCCAGCACCCATCGTCTCTGGATCAGCTGTTCACCTCGGATTATGCAGTTGTTGGAGGAGTTGGCTGTCATCTTCCGCATCAGATGGTAGACTTGGGTATCTGAAAACAATAAAACGGGTAATTAGAAATCTCGCTAAATGTGTTCACAACAATGTCATTTTATTTTGTTCAATTCTAAAATTCAGTGTGATACCAATATTGCCATGTTTGCAGGGGACTGAAAAAGAGCACAGTTCATATTTACCTAATGTCAGGATCTCTTTCACTGCATTGTCGTGGGCAATAAGGAGACGTCTCAGCTTGATGGCAACTTGAACTGGATCCATTTTCTAGGGCCTTCGGACACAACACTAGAATGCAGTCGGATGAAATACTACAGGGATTCAGTAGCGCCAAATTTGGATAATTGGAAAGTAGATGTGTTCGTTCTCACGGATTGAGATGAAGTGAAGGACTCCAGTCCGCGCAAAACATTTATACTGACCCTTAGTATAAACATAGTAGTGGAGATTCATAGATCAAAGAGAGCATTTTCGAAGCCAGTGGCGAGATCAAAGCTACACTGCAACTTCATTAGGCTTTGATCCGAAAGGAATCTCACTGTCCACTTGAGAAACCAATCAACTTCTTGTCAAAACAAGTTTCCGTATAAAGGGAGAGGTCTGAGAAGAGTTCAACCAATCTAGTCCTGTTATCTCCAGGGATGATCAATCATTGTTAATTGATTAAATCGGGATTGATCAAACGGTGCAGTACGTTGTGTTACTTAAAAATCCGATGTGGTTACTTTCGCATCCACAGAAACCAAGTCACAGAAACTTCTATCAGCTTGGAAATCGTGTGATGCTTCTCTGAACATTTTGTTTCAATTAAAAAACCCGAGAAAACCATGTCCACAATCCTAAGAAATCCTTACTCTGGTAGGCAAAGGCAAAGTGAATAAATGTACAGTCAAATCTTGAACTTATTGTACACATCTGTTTGAGGTCGTAAATGCTATGATAATCTGACCATTTTCCCAACCCGTCTTACATGATCGAAATACAGCACGTATGTTTTGAAGCATTTCAAATACTATTTTTTATGAATACCATCATCATGGTATAATTGAAGCAGCTCATTTGGCTTAAGTATCTGGATATTAACCATCTTAGAACCTTTTGGGTGGACGTCGGCTACTTAAAAGGTTACTATATAAATAAATAAATAGGCATGTACAATAAAGTTTATGTATGTTAAATGATCTAGAGACATCATCTTCAGTGTATAACTGTCATATCTTTGCCGAGCAGGCATGCATATTAATACAGATTTTCTAGGGTTGTTATATATGTGCAATTCAGAAAGAGGTAGAGTTACTTGATAGGTTTAAACAATGACATGATGATTTTACAGAATTTGGACAGTTTTCTCAATGTTCCTAGTCGTGAATTATTTAAAAATAAAACAGAAACTAATATCAACTGGGAAATCCAGCGATGTTTCTCTTAACGTTTAGTTTTAATGCATAATAGCGACAAAACAATTTCCATAATTATAAGAAATTTCTACTAAAGGAGGGGAAGTAGGTGTATTGAATATGGTGTTCCACAGTCGCCTGAAGGACCGCTGTTCGCTGTGGCGAGTGACCCTTAGGTGTGGCAGAACATGATTGTGGGTTCGCATCTCGGTTCCCTCTGATTATGTTTCTAGGTTTGTCAGTACCATATCCATGTTCGTGGGTGACTAAAAGTGAAAAGTCAATCGGTTTTCTTACACATGAAGTAAGTTGACATGCCGCCGTGTCACTGAGATAATGGCCAAGGCGGCGTTCTTGTGAGTGGACTGGTGGAAAACCTTTTTACAGGAAATATATCAAGAAGCGCGCAAGACGTAAAAGTATTTATATCGTCGCCCATTCTTTTAACCAATCTGAATACCACCTTGCTGGCATGGTATGGGGCTATATGAGGTCCAGAAGAGAAGAAACACCATTTTATATATGTGCCATACTTTGTAATTTACAAAAAAGTAATGGATGCTTTGAAAGTGAATGCCCCTTCGACAAATACTTTACAATAACACATATATACGCTCCCAAAAAAGAAACGCATTTGTGAATTTTCACATATTTAATTTGCTATGTTCAAAGAAGGATAACCCATTTAATACAACATTATTTGCAGCCAGATTGCACAATAAGAAATGCAAAATGTCAGTAATCACAAATATGACAATGAAAGTTCCATAAGTGATGACGTCTGTTTACAAGTGGGCGTTAGTTCTCAGTACCTATTGTGTCTACCACCTGAAGATGAAGTCTTTGGATCCGAGCTTGTGGAATCTTATCCCACTCGTCCTGCAACGCGTGTCTCGGGTGTCTGGAGTGACATTGACCTACCTGTCTGTAATATTATGTGGGTTATCTTCAATCACAGGTAACTGTTGTATCTTTTAAAGATAGACTCACTGACTGGGAGCAATCTAGTTTAATCCTAGAGGGGACATTACACTGCCCATCGAGGTCGTCCCACAAATGCCCCCCCCCTCCCCACTCCAACACCATGACACTACCTGCGCCATATCTGTTAACTTGGGTGACGCAATTATGGGCAAAACGTCCATTCATCCACCCCGGCGTTGAAGCAAACAACCTGATTCAATAGCAAAACAAACGTGTCTTCAGTGTCGCAGATTCCAGATTCATCATTGAACCCGTCGACGTCGATGTAGCCGTCTCAGCACTGGGCCAAAATAGGGTATTGAAGCTCATAGTCCAGCCTCTCGTAAACTTGGCGTGTCGAGTCGAGTGGCATTTCGTTTTTTGATCCAATACATATTTGAATACAATGCGGTTTTAAATAAGCGGTATCACTGCTCACTGCTCACGATTCCTTCACATTGCAAACAGTTCTTTCTCCATGACATGACAATTTGTACTATCTGACGCAGACGCATAACAGTTAAAAACGGCGCGTTTTGACACGCTGAAACCTTTCCATGAGCATAAAGTGCCATAATTTCTTTTGTAAAAATGTTATAATCCCCACACCCGTTCTGAAAAACAATTGAAATTGACTCTTTCCATGCGTTTGTTTGGGGGGTTGCTAAAATAACAATAAATATACAGCAGATACAACATATCTTATTGAGGAAATAATAGTAAAGTTAATAATGATGCGTCTGTAATATACCTTTACACTTCGAGTCAGATGGGTTTGTTGAGTAAATGGGTCACGTTTCACACTGAATTACATTGAGTTAAGAGTGAGTGAGATGGGTTTAGCGCCGCTTTTAACAGTATTCCAGTTATATCACGGCGTGTCAGCTTAATGTGAAGCCCGAAGTGATGCAGGTCTCAGACGTTTACCATTTCGTTGAAACACTGGTATGGTGCTGACAAACCTAGAAACATAATCGGGGCGAACCAGGATTCGCGCCCACAATCATAGGTTTCTGGTGTGCCCAAGGGATGCAACTCTGCACAGAGAATCGCGGCGCCTAAAACGAGTGGGCCACCCGTGCCCCCGAGTTAAGAGTGGCGACTAGGGGTTGTCAAGTTGTGCCATTTATCATCAGAAGCGGCGTTTATCGAGAGGCTATATTTACATAAAGCTGGGTTCAAATTCGGTAATCTGAATAGTTGAGACAGTATCAGTTAGCGCCTGCAGACATACAGTTTTGTTTGGATTTAAAGGATTATGTATATTCCCCCTGTACATCGGACATAACATATACCGATCAATGAAGTTAGGGATCATTGATATTTTGGGGGATTTGTAGTAAAGAGTTTCTTTAAACGTGTACGGTATATACAAATAGTTCATGATCCCTAACGTTTTTTGTACCGTATGTATTCCCTGATTTATCTTAGACTCAGGCTATGCACATAATGGTCAGTGGTAAAGGCCATTTTTCCTAATTCTATTGGTAATAAAGACCACTTCGTTCCACTGTCTGTTCGTCAGGTGATAAATACCGGTACTTGATTTTCCCGTTTGCTTAAAAAGGCCCGTTCTCACCAATTCTCATGCTGTTAAAGGCTATATTTTCCCAATTCGCCATGTGATAAAGCTTATTTGTCTTATTTTCTTAGGTGACGAAGGCTAGTTCTTGTCCATTCGTCAGGTGAAAAATGTTACCTTTGTCCCTTCATTGGAAGATAATACACGTTGTTGTCCCACTGATCATGTGATATAAGCCCATTCACACCAATACGGGCGAGCGCTGTGTGTGATATGACAACTTACATAATGCTGTCAGTAGATTGATATCCCATGCACTGGACAAGCTAGCAATGGCTAACAAAATTACCCATCATCTTTAACTTGAAATACAAAGTGTAATATACAAATTCCTTTGCTTCTTCTTTCAAATACATTCTTAATTCTACCCGCATATAGTCTTCAAAGTGCTAACACTGAATGTTTATCAATATCACAGTCACTATAACTAAACTGTTTGCACCGACATTAATTACACATTAATTACATGTTGTTGGTTCGCATACAATAACCTAAACAGACTGAAGAGTGCCAGTTGACCCTGATCCGCGCCGATTATGATCCTTGGACTGACAACAGTACCCGTCCACGTGGTTTTCACAAAAGTTGGTTAACCATGACCTGTGCTTCACATAGATATACTATTCCACATTTAAAGATGAGTGAGTGAGTGAGTGTGGGATCTGTATGTGTGTGATTGGCTGCCTGGAGGTGGTGTCATACAAATTGTATCCCATATTGCCATTGATCAGGATCATGTTCAGCTTTATTTAGGAATGGAAAGGACACAATAAAGGAATGGACACAATTCGAGCCACCAGCTGCTCAACTCACTCACTCACTCACTCACTCACTCGTGGTTTATCGACATTGATATGTGATCACAGTGGAAGTCCACTTTATACAACAAACAATCATGATAATGGACTGAGTGTCTTTGTTTGATCACATATATAGATATCTCACATTTCTGTTCTCCCAGGGAAACTGAACACACACACACACACACACACACACACACACACACACACACACACACACACACACACACACACACACACACACACACACACACATACACAACCGTATTGACGTATAAAGGCATCACGTTACATATCACTAAATTTGCATCAAGTCAAAATGAAAGGCAGTTCTCTCCTCAGGAGCATCTGGAGGGTTCCGTAGTTGGAGAGTGTTGTCGTGGCAACAGAGATAGTTTCCTAGAAGTACAAATGTAAATTAGATATGGCTACTGATACAAGGATAAATCAAATTCATCATGTATTAAGTGTATGTTTGCAGTTTGCAGAGATGATGAAGAGAAAGTGTGTGTGACAACAAACGTAACTGTTTCCCCTTTTAGTGAAATGTTCGGGACAGAAAAAACATATACTAATATTTAGTACAATTGTTAGGGAGATGGGGCACGGGTGGCCCAGTCGTCTAAGGCGCCGCGATTCGCTGTCCTTTGGGCACGCCAGAAACCTATGATTGTGGGTTCGAGTCCCGGTTCGCCCCGATTATGTTTCTAGGTTTGTCAGCACCATAACCGTGTTCATGGGTTTCACAGATGTGGTAAACATCTGAGACCTGCATCACTTCTGGCGTTCAACCCAACTCATCCGCTCACTGTTGGGAAGATTTATTTATTTCTAACCAAATACATGGACGCCAGTCACTCACTTGGACAAAAAATTCCTCAAACAAATAATTGTAGACGAAAGGTTTGCATTACATTTTAACAAACCGTACGGTATCTTACTTTTGACGCTGAACTTGATTCAAATAACTGGGTTACCTGGAAATTTGACACTTTGGAACACCACATAGCTCACATCCTTTTCAAATTCCTGCGAAATAAGGAAGTGGCGTCCATCTTGAAACGCGGTTGACGGGAGAGAGCTGTGGTCCTATAAATAAAAAATAAGTATTTCGTTAGTTTATCCTAGCACATTGGTAAAATCAATAGTTTCTTGAAAGTAGTGATTGGCACGTACAAAACAGTAATAATACTCTATTGGTAATAACCATACGAAATAGTTTACCAACAACTCGACTGTTCCGTCTGCACGTGCTGTGACGTCATACACGTGACCCTTAACCTCGTGACTGAAGGTGATGGTCATCACTGGAGGCATCTGTGTTTCTGAAATGCTCGTGCAGGACAGGAAAGTCTCTGAAAAGTAGAACAAATTTATCTAATTAGGAATTAACTGTTGTGAGTTGCTGATTGTTGCGTCACGCCGCTTTCAGCACTATTCCAGCATTATCACGGCGGGGGCTACCAAAATGGGATTCACACATCGTGCCCATGTGGGGAAACCCGAGCCTTCAGCGTGACGACTGAACACCCTAACATCCCTTTATATATAGTAGGACCGCCTCCGTGGTCTAATGGTAGAGCGTCCGCCCGGAGAGCGGAAAGTCCGGGGTTCGATCCCCGACCGCGTTATACCCAAAGACGTTAAAAGATGGTACTTGTTGTAACCCTGCCTGGCGCTCGGCATTAAGGGGCTAAAACAAGGACTGGTCGGCTCGGAGTCAGTATACTGTGTCTGAGTGGGATATTCATGTTAAACTGCGGCATGGTATCTCAGTGAGCTAGCACTATTAATCGGCATCAGTCCAGACTAGTACAAGCAGCCACACAAACACACACACGTACATGCACGTGGCTATATAAGTGCAATAATCTTGGACGCGACGTTAAACCCCATTTCACCTCACCACCTTATATATAGTAGGTGAGGTGAAATTGGGTTTAACGTCGCGTCCAAGGTTATTGCACTTATTTTCGACGTGTATGCAGTAACCTCAACAGAATAAAGAGTGCCGGTTGACGCTGATCGGGGGTTCGTATCCCATATCCGCGCCGATTATGATCCTTGGACTGACAACGGTACCGTTCACGTGGGTTTCACAAACGTCGGCTCACCATGACCTGTGCTTCACTGCTTGTACAAGTCCGGAATCAAACACAGTATACTGTGCCGACCAATACTTGTTTTTTCCCCTTAATGACGAGCGCCAGACAGGGTAACAACAAGTACCATCATTTTGAGTCTTTTGGTATGACGCGGCGGGGATCGAACCCCGGACCTTCTGCTCTCTGGGCGGACGCTCTACCACTAAAACACGGAGGCAGTCCTGTATATAGTCATGCCAATGCAGCAGAATAATTGGTTTGTTTCAAAGACAACTGTACACCATTGAGCGTGCTAACATTGTTCAAGCATTTTCCACCTTATGTTTTTTCATTTCAGAGCACATGCTGGATTGTTCGAGACAAACTATTCTTTTCAATCGATCTCGACGCAAGAATCCATGTTTTTATAATCATTTATTAATTTATTAAATTTAAAGAAAAGTGGGACATGTGTGTTTCGCAAGCCATCCTTTACCTGAGAAATTCAATATTACGTGACTATTAAAAACTAATATAATAACAAAAAATATCCACCAAAAGTATCGATCAATGAAAACATTTCTATACAAAATCAAGTTGATATCTCATGCTTACCTAAATTACCTCACACCACACATGGCCAAGAGCGATAAAACCCAGCACGTTAGCCTTCAATCAGTGCTAGAGTATAATGAAAGTCCTTTACGTGTTACTATACCAATAAAAATCAAGTCTTTGGCAATGTTAAAGCAATATATCAGAGATACAAGTATGACTGTAGCTCAAATCCTCGACCCACCCAGCATTGACAACTACATTAAACATTTTCCAACGACTGGGTGACGGAAAATGGGTAATGGTCGAGCCTTGGACAAACGAGTGGTTGATAGCATGATCAACGATGACGCAAAACTACATCACACAAGCTTTTACTGGATCCTCATCGACAACTTCTATATTCTTAGGACCTAGACATCCCCGGAATCCACACCTGTACATAACTAAAACGAATCTGAAATCTGAATCACAGTAAGAGTAAGTGACTAAATAGAGTTTTACGCCGCGTTTGACCCTTTTTCAGCAACAACACGATGTAAGAACACCAGTAATAGGCTTCAAACGTGCGGGAATAAAACCCGAGTGTTCTGCTTGTCGAGCGATCGCATTTAACCACAAACCACGAACGTTACCTCCAACACAAACAGCTTACCACGTATTCTCTGTTTCTGATCTGCTCCGGTGACAAACGTGAGGCGAGGTGGATCCCCTACAGCAGACAGATGCTGGTTACTACGCGTACTGATAAGTACATTCGATGTCTGTGGCGCCGACATCGGTTGGTGTTTGACGAAAACTGCTTGAGTAACACGCCACGTCTACAGGACAACACAGAATGAAATAGTTCAAACGTACGCTAAACATACATGCGGAAGTCGCTTATCAATAACGCATACCTGATGTACCGAGTAAAAGCTATTTCAGGGCAATACTGTCGTCATTTACGACGTTGAACAAACGCTAGCCATTGGCTGAGATACCAATGCAATTGGTAACACACGACGTATTAGGCATTCACACATAAACATGTAGAGAGCAGTAAATTCTTCAAGTGTTCCAAGGAATACCAACCACTGAGCTGCACTTCGGAGAACATCGACTGCCTGTAATAGAAAGTTTACTAAGAAATTTCGTCAGATTTATTAATAGATGTTACGCAGTACGTTTAATGTAGGTTACGACAGGTGCGTGTATGTACTGTCACGAAAGTGTATATATACCGTGCAGTTGTATCTTGATGTCTATAAATAACCATGACTGTAGCCTGTGACCTACTTAGACACACATATACGATACATGCTATGAGGGCTCGGGCGTTGCTGGTGTTCAAGTATCGACAACACTTCTCTGTATGTTGCATTTATTGATTGTGAAATGTATTACCAATTATATAAATTTAAATTTTGAATATAAAAATACATATTAAATAAATCAAAACGCATTATAAACATACATACAGGCGCACACACACATAAATATATTTATATCAAAATATATATATATGCATATACATAACACACAAGTAAACACGATACACGCACGCACGCACGCACGCACGCGCGCGTAAAGCTGTGAGAGAACAATAGCTTCCCAACAGGCATCTGTCCACTGTCCGAAACCATATTGGTTGAAGTCGCGAAGGGTCATCAGACGTCCCTTGTTAAATGCTCGTCGTCAGAGTGAGTGAGTGAGTGAGTGAGTGAGTGAGTGAGTGAGTGAGTGAGGTTTAACGCCGCTTGTAACAGTATTCCAGTTATATCACGGCATGTCAGCTTAATGTGAGAGGAAAGCCCGATGCAGGTCTCAGACGTTTACCACTTCGGTGAAACCCACGAGCACAGTATGGTGCTGACAAACCTAGAAACATAATCGGGGCGAACCGGGATTCGAACCCACAATCAAAGGTTTCTGGCGTGTCCAAAGGACGCAACTCTGCACAACGAATCACGGCGCCTTAAACGACGAGGCCACCAGTGCCCCACCCATCGTCAGTGTATGGATCGACGTCACTCGTGTAATCTACTTTGACCTCTCAACAACTCTTCCTTGTATAACTTATATCCGCTCATATCATATCATTTGTTTGAAGCCTGTAATCGATCAGTCAAGATTAGATATTAGCCGGATTTAACAGACTGAGTATTACAGCAGCACTTCAATTTCCTCATTTCAAGTGTTTGTTCTTTTACTGCGTATCTAAAACGGTTGCTCGGTTATAAAAGTCAGCTCGGTCATTCAATGAAAATGATGCAGGATATATGAATTAATAAATAGTACTATATTCATTTGAAACATAAAGGTGTATATACACCTAGAAATTAATTAAGAACCCTTGACAAAATGAAGAACAGTTATTAAATTCAAGTTTCATGATACTCATTCATTGAATGGCTGTCGGTCTGGTGAGGTGAGGTGAAATGGGGTTTAACGTCGCGTCCAAGATTATTGCACTTATATAGCGACGTGCATGTACGTGTGTGTGTTTGTGTGGCTGCTTGTACTAGTTCGGACTCTGCACAACGAATGTAGGTTACGACAGGTGCGTGCATGTACTGTCACGAAAGTGTATATATACCGTGCTGTTGTATATTGATGTCTATAAATAACCATGACTGTAGCATGTTACCTACTTAGATAAACATATACGATACATGCTATGAGGGCTCGGGCGTTGCTGGTGTTCAAGTATCGACAACACAGCGACAGCGACGTGCATGTACGTGTGTGTGTTTGTGTGGCTGCTTGTACTAGTCCGGACTGATGCCCATTTATAGTGCTAGCTCACTGAGATACCATGCCGCAGTTTAACATGAATATCCCACTCAGACACAGTATACTGACTCCGAGCCGACCAGTCCTTGTTTTAGCCCCTTAATGTCGAGCGCCAGACAGGGTAACAAGTACCATCTTTTAACGTCTTATGGTATGACGCGGTCGGGGATCGAACCCCGGACCTTCCGCTCTCCGGGCGGACGCTCTACCACTAGACCACGGAGGCGGTTTGGAGTATAGTCATGACAATAACTGACTGTGTCGCCCAAACACACAGACACATGAACGTGAAGCATGATACCTTCGAGTTTCAGGAAAAGTACTTTGATATTGATGCGGGGCGGTCGGGTTGCCTAGTGGTTAAAACGTTCGCACGTCACGCCGGGTTCGATTCCCGACATGGGTACAATGTGTGAAGCCCATTTCTGGTGTCCCCCGCCGTGATATTGCTGGAATATTGCTAAAAGCGTCGTAAAACCATACTCACTCACTCACTCACTCCTTACCCGGGTCTTCGGCGTGACGAGCGAACGCTTTAACCACTAGGCTACCCGACCGCCCCAGACTCGTAAGGAGAAGACACCGACAGACACGTGAAGTAAAGAATCGTCCATGACCAGGGCCACCCCTAAAAACAACTGTACGTGAAGACAGTGCTCTAGCACGCCTTGTGAGGTGGCAACCCTTTGCTTCTAGTGAAGATGTGAGAGAACAATACCTTCCCAACAGGCATCTGTCCACCAGAACTGTCCGTAACCGGCGAAACCATATGGGTTAAGTCACGAGGGGTCATCAGACGTAACTTGTTAAATGCTCATCGTTAAAGACTTCGACTGGAGTAGTGTATGGCCCGACGTCATTGGAATCTCAGGACGTGGCTACGGATTCATTGGTCAGATGAAAGCAGATTCTTGCTGCACGTCATAGATGGGCGAATGTGGGCATGAAGCGGACTTTGTTGATGCATGTCATCTTATTATCCCATTTGCGCTAATCGATGCTCTTGACGTCAATCATTAAATTGCCTGGTCAAGGCTCGATTATTCACAGACCAACGTTATATTGCAATACGTGATTATTTGCTTTGAAATGTCTAATTAATAAACTCTCTAATAATCTACATAAATCCTTTCCTTTAGAACAATTGCAAAATAGAAAATAAATTACATCTTTCGACCTACGTTTATTTATTTTTTTATTTATTTATTTAGGACGGTAGGGTAGCCTAGTGGTTAAAGCATTCGCTCGTTACGCCGAAGACCCGGGTTCGATTCCCGACAAGGGTACAATGTGTGAAGCCCATTTCTGGTGTCCCCCGCCGTGATATTGCTGGAATATTGCAAAAAGCGGCGTAAAACCATACTCACTCACTCACTCACTATTTATTTATTTATTTAAGGTGGGATTGTTTGAAATCCTAGTCATGTGTTTACAGCTAACTGTGTCTGGCATGTATTTATGTTTGTTTGTTTGTTGTTTTACGCCGCACCAATATTCCAGCTATATGACGGCGGTCTGTAAATAATCGAGTCTGGACCAGACAATGCAAAGACATGCTTCAACCAAGTCAGCAAGCCTGACCACCCGATCCCGTTCGTCGCCTCTTGCGACAATCATAGTCGCTTTTTACGGCAAGCATCGGTTGCTGAAGACCTATTCTCACCTGGATCTTCACGGGTCATTTGATGTCTGAATTAGCGTGCATTGTGGACGTAAACAAACATGCATGGCGTGATTGCGTTCCTACCCCTCAAAGACGGTACAACACATAAAATACGTTGTATTATCCGACACTGTAAATGCAACGGAAACGCCGATGTGAAATCGATAACTGATACAGAAAACCCATTAACCCACTGACAAAGTCCAGTGAACGTACCAACAGTTTCGTAACTCATTGCATAACTGAAGTTAGAATATTCGATAAAGCTTCAACCACCTGCTGTCTTAGTGCCGCGTCTTGACTGGATGGCAGATGTTTTACAGTTTAACCATTTTGTCAAAGCGGGTTGTGTTACATTTAGCTCGAGTCCTTGGACTCTAAACAGGAAACGGTAAGACCTCTTTGTCTTCTGACTGTGACTTCCCATACTTACCTTTTCGATCATTATTTTGTTTATCGAAATAGGAAAACTATTTAGGCTTTTTCTATGCAACTTTCGTTGTCAAAAACATATGCGTGTGCATGAACGAGTTAACATGTTTCATGTATATGTGGGGGCGGTCGGGTATCCTAGTGGTTAAAGCGTTCGCTCGTCACGCCGAAGACCCGGGTTCTATTCCCGACATGGGTACAATGTGTGAAGACAATTTCTGGTGTCCCCCGCCGTAATATTGCTGGAATATTGCTAAAAGCGGCGTAAAACCATACTCACTCACTCTCTCACTCATGTGTGTGTGTGTGTTTGCGTGTATACACTCGTTCTATTCACAGTGTATGACTACGGCTTGAAATTAATTGCATTGACCAGATAAACCAGTGATTGACATTATGAGCAACGATCCACACCTTTGGGGCACGATGACATGTGAATCAGTCCTCGCTAGGGGAGTCCTCCTTATGAATAACGCAGGAGTTTGTGCTGTATACTGCAAGTGGAATCGCTTGAGCAGGGAAGAAATACAGGGTTATCTATTTTAATATTTAAGATAATATTTAATATTATTTGCCTGTGTCAGCATCTTTCCCACGCTGAGAGAGCTGAACTTTGGCGTGCGTGTTTCTTTGGATGATATCCTATTTTGTCCACAGAAAGAATTTAGTCTTAGTGTCAAGTCCACAGCATTTAAGAAGAACTATTTAACATCAATGGTGACAGCATATATTTTTCAAGTGGCCGTTTTGTGTTGACATTTAAAACTGTTAAATGCATATCCAGCTGAGCTATGACGCCGTTGCTCTATTTCTAAACATTTCTTTTGTGGTTCCTGTTGCGTTTGTTTCAACGTTATTTTCAATTCAGAAGTTTGTTGTGACCCGTTCTGACGACCAGCAATATAATACGTGATTATTTACTATGAAATGTCTCATAAATGAACTCTGTCATTTTTTACTTTTATGTGTATCCTTTAGAACAATTGCAAAAGCTTGAGATGGTAAAGAAATCTTTCGACCTACGTGTAATTATTTATTTGTTATATTTGTTTAAAAGTGATCAGTAACAGCATTTGATTTTCTATTTGGTTGCAATTAAAACTTTACCAATTCGATTATTTCTTACACTGTTCTTGTGGTGAACATTTGCTGGATTGTTTCTACATTATACAGGA